TAGCTTTGCGCGAAATTCAAAAACAAACAAACAAACAAACATAACAAATAAATTAATGTGAATAATTACTCATTCATATATTAATATGTAAGCCAATCAACCAATATATTTAAGTGTGAGTATGCAAACTTTGTTGATAATCTGGACTGACCAGCCAAAACAAATTATCCGAGCCACTGATTCTCAGAAAAATTGTATTTGCATTTATAGCAAAGCTACTCAGGTTAACTGGCGCAGACCCTAAGCACACTACCACTCCCAATCCAGACTAATAGATTGACTGTCATTCCTGTAACACAAACACAACTTATAGCGATGGGAATATTTTGTGTTATCGCATAAATTCGAATCCGGTTCGCCAACTCCAAAATCCAGAATTCTAGCATAGGGCCAAACCACGCCATATTGCACACTTCCGGAAGAAGTAAGCACTATCTAATTATTAACCTCTACTTACCTTTCTCTCGTTGTTGTTTTGACGTTTAAAATACGTTTATTTGTTTATTTCTCTCAAGGAAAACTTCAATTTTTACCAACATCATTATTTTCGTCCGGTTTTGCTTTGTTTGTTTGGTTGTGTTGAATTTCGCGCAAAGCTACACGAGGGCTATCTGCGCTAGCCGTCCCTAATTTAGTAGTGTAAGACTAGAGGGAAGGCAGCTAGTTAGCACCACCCACCGCCAACTCTTGGGCTACTCTTTTAACAACGAATAGTGGGATTGGTTGCCACATTATAACGCTCCCACGGCTGAAAGGGCGAGCCTGTTTGGTGAGACGGGGGATTCGAACCAGCGACCCTCAGCCTGCGAGACAAGCGCACTGACCACCTGGCCATGCCGAACCTGGGTTTTGCTTACAGAAGTACACTAGGCTTTATACATAAAATACTAATGACGTGAAGGGTATACAGCAGAATCCAAGATATACATCAGCGATTGAAATACAAAGAACGTTGGGGAAGTTAGCACTTTTTCAGTGAATATATACATCACGTTAAGATACAGTGAGTATGGAATCTTTCCCGTTAACAGGAAAGCTTGATCTATCGCTGTATATTGACGTTACGTATATATTAACAGGAAAGATTGATCCCCCGCTGTATATTAATGTCACGTATATATTAATATATACGTAACGTCAATATACAGTGGGGGATGAATAGTTGTATTATGTTGAAATAGTCATAAAGATTAAAGTAAGGAGGTCATTGACCTAAACTGACATTCCCAGGACATTAGTTTTCTCAATGACAATTTAAAAGTACTTTTTAATATCTATTTCGTTTGTTCGGTGAGGAGTTGAAATAGAGGATTCTAATCATTCTTTGATATCTCAACTTTCAAAAGATTTAGCCGGAAGGTTTGTGTCATTTCAGGAGAGAATTTTAGTTGCTTTGGTTTTATTTTGGTATTTCTTCTTTTGCATTTTGTGTAAAACGTGTTTAACTTAGTATTCAATTAAACATGTATTTTTTCAATAATTACTGCATAATCACTAATATGTATCTCTAATAATGTTTAATGTATTCTGTATCTGTTTATATGTACTGAAATAATGTAGTGAAAAGAAAGTTGCTTTTACTTGGTTTCAAGATCTCTGGAGTTGTTTTTGGAAAAAAGACACTCATGTACCAGAGAGAAATGTACTACCCTAGGTACTTTATCACCAACATAACTGTATCTTTACAATATGATAAATAAGGGCATAGTAGAGAGGTATAAGTTAAAAACGACGACTTCAAAGCTGAACAAAACCTCAGTACGTACTAGATCACACACGTATGTGTGAAGGTAAAACAATGTTAGCTAGAACATGAAAACCAAGATATGAACAACTGTTAGAGCATTATACACCTTAACCTTAATTAGGGCAATAAAATATGAATAATAATTCAATAGTTAGAGCAACAAAATCAAATATATTCTTTCACACTTGACGACCACAAATAAAAGTGATGTAGAAATGAAACAAGACCTTGTGGTTAGTGTGCCCAGACTGTGAATATGAGGATTCATGGTTCG